CCTGCGCTGTGTTGTCAATTTAAGGCCAAGGCAAGTTCTCTGTGACATAAGGTGGCATTTGACAGTAGATATTTATCTATGTATGTGTACCTGCTCAAGCAGTCGAAATATGCCATAAACAAGCTACATATAAGTGTGGTAGTAAAATAAATGAATGTCGCATTGAAAATTTACTTCTTCTGAGTGATAGTCGATGCTCTGAATGCATAAGCAAAATTACCAAGATACATACCTGCGATGTGTTTGAGGAGTATGTAACTACAAGCAATTAATTTGATGGCTTTTCTGTGCATAGCGAGGCCTTTTGCATGTTGCATAGGTAGCAAAACGCCTGCAGATATACATACATACATATGCATATTCATTTGCGCCGATAACCATCTGATTGAACTCGCATCAAAGGTCCTCATTCCTCATTCTAATTTTTCGGCTGCAATTTTAATTTGCAAGCAATTCATTATTTCATCGATTGTAGCACAAGCTGCAACACTTGCATGACGTTGTTGCTGCGGCTTTAAACGGCATTTTTGTTGTGCCTAGTTAGATGTTCGTTGTTTTGTAGTGTTGCCGGTTGCTGTGCCAAGCAAAATGTCCGTGCCAGAAAAGCATGTCAGCATAAATGCAGCTGCAAATGCTGCACTTCACGCACTGCGGAAGAAGGATTTCCGCTTGCATGACTCACTGGCTCAACACCACAATATAGCATCGCCGCCAGCAAACAGTGGGGCGACTACAAGCAAACACGCACGAAGCCTACATTAAGGCGCATTACTGGGTCAAGATGGATGTTGTGTGTGTGTGTGGATGGCTGTGTGCTTTTGCTTTCGGTCAAAGTGAATTACATGCATTTACGCTTTTACATTTAATTACATACATACATACAGGCATACTTAAATACCTAACTAAATGCGTAAGCAAGCAAGTACGCATTTACCAGTCAGTACGGCAGCGGAATTAATTCTAAAAGGCGTACATTTGTCTAAATGTATGTATGTAAAGCAGTTTGTTTATTTGAATGTCTGCTTGTTTAGTTTTGTGAATGTTTGGTGAAATTGCACAGAACTGAAGGGGAATTTTAATATTTCTACAACCACAGATTGCCTAGAGAGCCAATTCAATACAATACCACAATGCTTCACCACAGGCAAACAACAGTGAATACCCGGTAGGAAATTGAATTAGTTCGAAAATAATTTATAAACTACTTTATTTTCAATGATAACTAATTGAATAATTCTCACTATTTTACCTGCAACGAACTCATTTACTTAACATGGCGATGTCCTAGGAAGCAGTCAATTGCCTTTTCCTGCATGTATTTTCAACTACTTTAAAATGAATTTAGCTTAAACAACTTCAAAGTCAGTATGTTTCGTTTGAATGCGCTTGCGTTCTGCACTTCACAGATGATTTTTCATAACTAAGAAAAACCGAAATTAAGAATTTAAAAATTAAATGAGATTTGAAAATGGACATTCTTGGCTACGACCAATTGTTGCAAACATCATTGCACGCTCAGCCACAGCCAGACATGTACACGTATGTAAATGT